CCCCCACCCCCCAGCCACATTGCTTGGGGGAGGGGGCTATGGCTCGAACTGTCCACATGCTCACCAGCAGTAACAGGAAGTGGAGTGATGCAACTGGGAGCTGAGGGAGCAGTGCGGGCAGAGGCCAGGTCACTCTACTCCCCCCACCCCACTCACTGGCTGTGAATGTGGAGGGGAACCCCCACTGCTGGTGCCAGAGGCTCTTCCCCACTAGTCCCCTGGGCCATGTGGCTTGGGGATGGAGACTTGGGGAAAGGGGTGGTGTGGGAGTGGGGGGAAAGGGTGGTAAGAGGTAGAGCTAGGTGTGGCATGGGCTGGGGGTGCGGGGAGGCAGTCACATGGCCAGTAGCCTGTTGTGTCCCTCCCCAGTAGTTGCCACCGATCTCCTAACATGGGCTACAGCTACTTTTCTAAACACGTGTTTGCAACTATATTACCTATTTCAATAACGCGAACACATGCAGGTGAGTCAGACTAATGCAGTCAGTGTCCAGCAAGGCCTAGGGGCTATGGCTCCAGCCTGCACCCCCTAGCGGCTCCTTCCCACTCCTACCCCACAAAGAGGTCATGTCCTAGCTGCCCTCCTCCCATAAGGGAGCAGTGGCCTGGCGGATCTCTTTAGCCTGCCCTCCCCAGTAACCGCTACAATTCAGTGGGAAACCGGTGGTGTGAGGAGAAATCATTTCTTGCCGTTACTGCACTCACTGGAGGAGCAATGGGGGATGCATGTGACCTCACCCCAGGCTGGGGCCCCCACGCTCTCCCCATCCCCTCTGACACCCTCTTAGCGCCATCTGAACTCCCACAGGTCACTGAGGATCCAGCAGTGCCCCAAATTGAAAACTTCTTAACTGAAAGGCTAGGCAAGGCAATCACCCCACTATCCTGTAATGCACGATTGGTGCCTTCTTTATGGCCAAACTAAGCTTCTGTCAGCTTGCCTTTTGCTCAATCTTGCTCTCTGCCAGGCACTAGGAAAGCAAAGATGCAGCGCCATCTGGGTTTGATAGAAAAGAGGCACAGAGCTGTGTGTGCCATGTGCATCTTGGTAGAACTACAGCCCAAATTGTTTGATTATTTTCCTCAGTAAGACATACAGGAGGGGCAATAAAAATTCACCAGGCAGAACATGCATGGAAACTGACTCTGGACTAGGGATGTGAACAACTAGTCGCTTCCCCACCTCCCTTGCTGCCTCTATCAGATAGAGGCAACAAGTGGAGAGAAGAGGGGGTACATCAAAGTGTCAGCACCACATGGAGCCCAGGATCAGCGGGGGAGTCTCCAGCTGACCCCAGGCTTTTGCACTTTCACCTTTGAAGTGTAGCAACAGCCCTAGGGCCGTAGCTACACTTCAAAAGCAGAGACGTCCTATTGACTAATCGAATAGTTGATGCAAAAATGCATTGACTATTCGTTTAGTCAATTACCCGATACTTAACTTCCTTATTCTGGACAGAGAAGCAATTGATCAAAATCACATTCCCTGCTCTGTTCTCATTGCAATCAAAAGCAGTTTTGCTATTGAGCTCAATGGGAACAGGCTTTGACATTTGGAGAGGAAAAGGCAAAACCACTCAAGCCAGAGTGCTTATACCACAGGTATCAAAGGCTGCTGACTCGTGAAAGTCAGCAGACATCTGATCTTTGTCCATTGCAAGAAAGAAATCCGCAACCAATGAGACTAGAACCATCTTTGTACCACATCCAACTCATAAGTCCATCTGCCAAGGATCAAGGAAATATGAAGGCTCGTTCAGATTACATCAGAGTTTTCTAGCCATCATCTTCCTTCTCAAGTGCCCCTAGGAGGGGAAGATTAGAGACAGGGTGAGAACTGACAGAACTGAAATGGTGTCTTAAGCAGAACCCTAACTGCCATGTCTTTGAGGGAAGAGGGTATGTTGTGTCCCCACGGCAGGGAAGCGCTATTCTCAACCAACATTGGAGCTAGGAACTCCAGGAGAGGTAGGGTGGGTCAATGTACAGGTATGAACCATTGACCTTAACACCCATAGTAACTGCAGCAACAGGCCAAATTTGTACAAGCAGCAGCTGCATTTGTCCCCTCCAGTCACAGTTTCGATGAAGAGGCTGCTTGTCTCATCAGTGGTGGGCAACCTGCAACCCGAGGGCCGCATGCGGCTCGCTGGGGTTCTAGGAGTGGCCCACAAGACATTTTGTTTACTGTTGACCACGTGCAGGGCTGCCAGGTTCTGCTGGTTTCCAGCTGTGTCATTTTTTCTTACCAGTATTACTAAAGTGACACGCCCATAAAGCAAGGGCATGTGAAGTGAGGTGCATGCTGATTGCGCACAACACTGTGAGAGCTGCATGCTCCCCCTACATCCAATACGTGTCCTGATAAAAGAAAATCTCTCTGGCCTGCTAATATTATACATTTTAAAACTGAAAGAAATGCACCAACAGATGGCAAGATTGAGCTATCAAGTGAAGGTCTTAGTAGCAGCAGTGCAGAGTCAAACTGTCCCAGTGCTACGGAGGAGCGCAGTTACGGAGACCAGAGTCATCCCGTCCATTGGACAGTTTGGGGCAGCCACTCTGGGCCCTGTGCTTTGGGAGGCCCCATGGCGGGTTGGGGGATTACCAGGGAGGCCTGGAACCAGCAGCAGGGGCGGTTCCAGCCCCCACACTCACCAGCAGTGGCAGGAGCTGCGGAAAGCAGAGCGCCCCTGCCCTAACCTGCTCCGGTTGGTCATTTCCCAGCTGGGTCGCTCATGGGAGCAGAGAAGGCTAGAGCTGGGGCATCTGCTTCCCACTGCCACAGTGAGTGAGGAGAAACCCAACCCCTGCTGCCAGTGCTAGGCCCCCTGTAACTCCCTGGGTTACATCGCTTGGAGGAAGGGTTTGGGGAAGAGGTGCAATGGGAGTAGGAGGGGATAGAACAGGAGCAGGGCCTGGAGCAGAGGCGGGTGCTCTGGGCCCTGCACCCATTTAGGAATGGCCCTGGCTGAGACATCCTTTTAGAAAGTGCAGCTTGGCCAGATGGGACGCTAGCAAGGAGAAGAAAGCCCCTGGGCTGTAACTGTGGGTAATCACACCTGTGTGTATGACCGTTAAGGGAGGCTCTTGTGCCAAGTCCCATGACTATCAACAT